ACAACTTGTACATTAACATCTTTTGTCTTAAAAGAAAAACACTCATGTCATAGACTCACTACCACTGTCGTAAGTCCTTGAAGGGCTCCTCATTTCCTTCAGTCTATTTTCTTTCTGTTTTTAAGACTGGATAATGTTAGTACCCCTCAATTTCAGCTCACCTCCTTAATGCTGTGTTGAGACACAGATCCAGGGATCCTCACTCTGCCTCTCTTGCCATCTGTGGAGAAGATTCATTCCTGCTGGGTGGAGGTGGGATTTCAGGTTTCGACACCCAACTGGATGGGAAAGGCAGGAGTAGCCTATTATGCTCACTGACCCTACAGCAGCCTGAGGCCGACCTTGTTACTGCTGGGTGGTGCTGGACTCCAGGATCCCCATGTGACTTCCGCTGATGATACAGATGGAAGATGGAGTTGTTACGTCCAAGAGAAAGATTTCCCATTCCTCTGATATCACACTTCTGAGGTGCCAGTTTCTTTAGAATCCAGGCTGGGATGTGTGAATGAATAACAGCACAGAGAGTTCCACCATCTTGTTCCGCCATCAGGCTCAAGGTCCCTGGCTGGTCTGACCTCTTCTCCACCTCTCGGAGTCTTCTTATTTTTCTTTTTTCTATAACATCCAGAGCTGTTTTTGGTTTCTTTTGTTTTGGTACCAGGGATCAAACTCAGGACCTTGCACCTGTGAGGCAGGCAGCAGAACCACTGATCTAAATCCCTGGCCCAACATCCAGAGTTTTTAACCATATTCAATGAAAGGAATGAAATATATCTATTTCGTCTTGGTCTGGACCAAAACTAAGTTACTAGGCATATTTTTAAAGTGAAGAGAGGATAAATATTTTAAATTTTTCATACCTTGAAAAGGGTAATTGAAGTTCACAAAGTACATTTATATGCATTGCAAATGTGGTATTATTAGCATTCCCCTTTCTCAGAGGGGATGATTGCTCAGATATGCTATCTTTGACCCAGACTCACATACTGAGTTAGTCACAGGGCTGAGGCATAAATTACATTACTCTACTTGATGCCAAGAATGTTGAACCAGATGAGGCAAAAACACAAATACACAGGGTGAGTAACTGATTGTAAGACTTTTTGTTTTACTGCTCATCTATGGCCCTCCTTCCCAATTCTGGCTCTTTGGTCTTGACTGTGCAGAATCTCTTCTCTGACTGGGGGGCAGGATTAGGTGTGCTTTGCATCACTTGGTGTCACCAGCAAAGCTGGAATCCTAAAGAGCAGCAAGGGACAGCCCTGCTGAGCCCCATCCCCACTGAGAGTGGCCCTGCTGCTCCATGAGAAAATCCCTGCATGAGCCCTGCCTCCTGCCCAGATCCCACCCCGCTCTTCTCCAAGGCTCATATGCTAAGAAGCCCTAGGACTTCTCCTTTCCTTCCCCTCCTCTTCAGATACACTGACTTGATCTTACTCATAACTGGTGAAATCAGAGATTAAAAAGTGATGGTTCACAGATAACTAAAAGCTTTTTAAAAATCAACCTGGGTGGTCTGGTTGAGATGCAGAGGTTTTTATCTACCTGGTGGTGCTAGCAAGGGAGTCTAAGGATGGCATGAGTGGCCTCCCTGACAGTATGTAATCTATTCATTTTGGGAATATCAACATGTTCCTCCAAAAATCTAAAACTCAAAATCTTCCCCAAATCACTCACTATATAAGGTGGATTTCTTACATCCCCAATTTTTAGGTAATATATACGATTAGATCTACTAAAGACTGAAATTCTACAGATTTGCAAATACATGCAGTAAGAGTTCATAAAAGTCCACACTTCAAAGTTTTCCTCCCTAAATCTCTAAGTGAAACTAAAACTCCAGGATGACGTACCAAGCTAACTTATAAAGTATTCTGTGATTGACTACCACACATCCCCAAGATCATTGTACGCCAGTTCGAGAAGCATAATACATAGCAAAATATAAAACAACAAACTTTTATACTTTGTAATACTATAAATACTCATGGACTTGTTAAGTTTGGGCTTTATTAAAAATTCATCCAAAAATCAGTAAGTAAAATTCATATGATAAAAGGCAGTTCTTACATGTTACTGATAAATATGGGATACATTCCAGAAAAACTGAAGTTCAGAAGGGGCAGCATGATAAAAACTATTTCCTATTGGAGATATGCTAAATAATAAATAACTACAGTTATTCTTTTACTTAATTTCCAACGGTACAAAGCTAAAGCTTTACAATTTCTCTCCATCCATGAAGTTCTATAGTATTGGCATAATAATACTGGTTTGAACTAGATAAGAAAAGGTAAGTTTAAATTCCTGAATTGTAGACTTTCAGAAAGAAATGCGATTAGTTTTATTTAGCTTTAATTACATACAGTAACCAGAATTAAGCTGGAATATGTTACCCAATAGAACAACTTTAAATAGCTAGTTTAGAGTGGCTGTATTTTATGTTGGTAATGTGTTCCTGAAAACTAGACTTTCTAAGGAATAGCAGACATTTCTGTTTAATATCTAATGTGGTACATTTTCCATTTATGGGCCTGCCAAATCATACAATAACTTCAGAAACCAGTTTTCAATTTATGGAGATAAATATTACTTTAAATATATATATAAATGAGATTTTAATAATATTTTATGTTTTGCTATTTCAAAGTCTCACAATTTAAGTTTGCCCGAAATATGAGCATGTGTGAATATGTGCATAATATATTTAAAGTCAATGAAAAACGTGATTTCCTCCCCAGGCTCTTAATTTAATATTACTTGGTAACTCTTTCAGAGATGAGCCAAATCCTAATACGTGATCAAACTACATAGTAATTCACATGGAAGCAAGTGCTGAAAGAAGTAAAAGAGGGAAGGGAAATGGGGTTCAGGGTGGGTGGGGTTTTAAATAGGGCAGTGTTATGGTTTATGTCCAGATGTCCTCAAAGAACCTCATGTGCTCACAGGTGGAGCTTTTGGAAGGCAATCGGATTATGGGGGTGCCATTGCTGACTTGCTGGTCTAAAGAGGCGGACACTGGGGGTGTGGCGGCCCAGAAGGGTTTATCTCCCTTCCTGGCTCTTCCATTGGTATCTCTCTCTGCTTCCTGTCCACCATGCCATGAGCATGTCTCCTCTGCCAGGCCACTGCCCCATGCTGTCCAGCCCCGGAAGTGTAAACCAAGATACACCTCTCCACCTTTAGGTTGGTAGGTGTCAGATATTGTGTCTCGGGGATGAGAGAGTGACCAAGACAAGCAGTCAAGGAAGGCCTCAGTGAGACAGTGGGACATAAGCAAAGATGTCAGGTTGCTGAGGCCGATGCTGTACAGCCTTCTAAAGGAAGACAGCAAAGCAGAGGGAACAGCAAGAGCAAACACAAGGGCAGACTGACGCTGCGTACCTTGCGAGCACAGAGGATCAAGTAAGGAGTGGCTAAGGAGCTATGTGGGGAACCAGGAGAGTGTGACATCTTAGAGGCCAGCTGAAGAATGCGCATCGAGGATGGAGGAGTCAACGGTGTCAAGAGCAGGCACTTCAAAGAACAGGAGGACCGAGAAGTGACCAGAAGCCATAGCTGAGGGACAAAAACGGTTTCAGTGGAGCATGGGGTAGCAAAACCTGGTAAGAACAGGGTCAAGAGAGGAAGTGGAGTAGTAGATCCACTCAACTATTTCAAATAAATGTGCAGAGGAAAGGGAGGACGGCCAGAGGAGCAGGTGGGACTGGGATGAGAGCAAAGAGTGGGAGGAAGACCCAGGAATCCATGAAATCCAATCTCAGGCTCACTCCTCACACCACTTTAGGAGGCCTCAGTGTAAAAATGAGGCCATCTATCTGAGGAATGACCTAACCCAAAGGCTTACTAAAAGGAAAGGGATTTTAGAAATGTTTCACATCTGATCAGCGTAATCTAAAGGGAGTCACTTGATGGTGATCACACAGGAAATAGCAAAAGCTACTTGAGCTTCTTCCTCCCGGAGCAGGAGGATAGCATTGCATGGGATGGGCTCGGATGTGAAACACGGGAGCTTGAGAGAGAAAGCGTGGCAATGTGTGGCCAGCAATGAATCCACAGACAGGGTACACTGTTCAGTGCCCCAGAATACTGGGCTCATTTGGCAGATGTATTTTCATTTAAATAGTAAAGCGGATCTATATGGAGACTATTAGGTCATTAAAATCATCCACCTGATGTCAGGGTCAGAAAGCCATCTTCTTAGTAGCGTTTTCAGAATAGATTTCCTACAAGAGGATGGTGTGATTATCAGGGAGCTTGACTGCCACATCCCAATGAGATTTTGCCAAGATACATTAGTAATTTTGACTCCAGTAGTCAGCAGCTGGGAACTGCCTGGCTGTATCGAGCAAATGGACCTAGAAGGTAAGGACCAAGCCTTGAAATGACACCGAGGTGTGGCAGAGCCAAGCACCATTAGGCCTCTGGGAGCCACCCAGACCTTCTTACACTTTGTCCTTCTAACTACATGTTTAAATACTGGGCTGAAGAAAGAGCATTGAAATATCAGTGGGAAAATCACCTAGGGCTATGCCACCAGGGTCACGCAACCCTGAGTAGTGGCACTGGGTCTCTGCAACCCTTGGTTTCTATATCTTTTAAAATAGGAGTAATGTGCCAGGTGTGGTGGCACACACCTGTAATCCCAGCACTTGGGAGGCCGAGGTAGGAGGATCGCTGTGAGTTCGAGACCAGCCTGGGCAACATACTGAGTTCCGGGTCAGTCTACATAGTGACAGTCTACATAGTGTCTCAAAAAAACCCAAAATAAATAAATAAACAAACAAACAAACAAATAGTGATGAGAGCGATTCTGTCTCACTGGCTGGCTTGAGGCCCAGAATCAAAGTCTAAAGCATCACCTATATGACGATAAGATATTAATGCTATCATCATCACATGCCTGCAAGCCTGAGGGTACCACTGGCAGGTTGAAGCACACTTCTGTTATCTGAGAATTGAAGACAAGAGGCAAAACCACAAAATCTGGGAAATCCTACCTCTCAGCAACTGGTTTGGCAATGTTTTCAAAAATGATCTCTTGCTTTGCATCATGATCAAAAATCCTTTGAAATCTGCAATGTGAAAATGGCAATTGTTTAAAAGCTGAGCCTTCAAACACGACTGGGTTAATCAATCTGGTTTTTCCGCGAGCTTTGTACATGACCCCGCGTTTGCGTCACTGGGCTCGCCTAACGGAACACAATGTCTGCCCTGTGGTCCCGCCACAGTGTGCTGTTGTGCTCCCGATACAATGGTGAGTAAACAGCATTGCTTTCACAAGATCCGCACAATGAATCCTTGTGAAAAATGGCAGCAGCTTTGAACCCAATAATAAACTGTGTGTTTTTCAACTCTCAGGGGGTCAGTAGCTACAAACGGCACCAAATTCAACGCACAATGACCTTCTGAAAAATGGCAGCAGCTTTGAACCCAATAATAAACTGTGTGTTTTTCAACTCTCAGGGGGTCAGTAGCTACAAACGGCACCAAATTCAAATCGAGATAAGCGCACAAAATGGAAACCCAAGAACAGGGTGTAAAATGGCCAAAGGATTTCTGGTGTCTGACCTGTGAGGAAGGGGTGCGACTATGCACGGTGTGATGATCAAATTTAATTTCAGATGTTTGAACAGTAGTTTATTTTCCACTAATTAGGTTCTGCATTCTAGCATTGACGATTTCATTCTCAGGGTGGTTTGGTTTTATTTTCTTGGCCACAATTCAAAAGTCAAAAAGTAAATTAAGACAGATTTGTTCTTCGAAGAGAAGTTTCTATCAGCTTGGCAGTGCCAAGGGAGGAGTCAGGGTGGGGTCCGTTTCACTCCTCTCCCAGGGCCGCCCTGACTTAGTACAGGACCACAAGCCCAGAGGACACCTGAGACAGGAGACATGTAATTATTCTCTTACAGGGACTGAACCACAAGTATGGCCCCCATTAAAATATTTCAATAATGAGACAGAGAACAGAAACAAGGAAAATAGAATAAAATGTTAGTAAAAGGTGAGTCTCCTGTGGAGTATGTAAATGTCAATTAGTTTGTTCGTCCATGTTTTCTGCACATTTAAATTTTGAAGTTTACTGTGGAGAAAGGAATGCAAAACCTTTAAAACACACACTTTGAGGGCAGGGCATCCTGTGCCACTCTGGCCCTAGGTGCCCCCCTCTGCAAGACAACAGGGCACCTGTTCAATTAAAGTGGAGGCTGCAGGCGAAATGTTCGGTTGCTCCCACTCATGAGGAGTTCAGAGGGAAGACTGGCACTAGCCTGAAAACATAAAATGCAAAGAAATTTGTCTTTAATCAACGGTGACTTCCTGCAGCTCATCAACCTCCCCTTTAGAGAAGCAACTAGTGAACTCTCCGGGGCCTCTTCTAAGGACTTAGGAGATGAGCTTATGGTCGAGACAGCAGTATTGACCGTGCAGTGTGCCCCAACCAGTCCGCAAAAGCCTCAAAGACCAACACCAACGCATGAGTATTGCACCGAAGTCGACACAGGCATGGCTGCCCATGAGAGTGCTTTGCAAAGTGTGGTCTGTTCCGGTGTCTGAGTGCAGTGCCCAGGAGCGCGACAGATAAGCCGGCTAGCTTCTTGCACCAGGCTGCTGCTGATGGGGTGCCTTGGCCGAATTCCCCACACCACTTGCTTGGACACTGGGAATTATATCTACTACCACATCAGCAAAAGAGATGGCAGGGGCATTGTCATCTGCAGCATATATTCTGGAAGGCGCCTTGCTTATGCTGGATTATGGCATGATCATTTTTCAAATCTATTTCCCAAACATATGCCGAGTGCCTACCATGTACCAAGCACTTCCACCAAGCTTTAAATTAGACTAAAATGTAACGTTAGTACAGTACATATAAAGGATACTGAATTCCTTGGGGAGGGAAATGACACCCTCCAGCACATAAAGTAACGGCCAAACCACAAGCAATTTACAGCCCTCTGTTCACTGGTTTCTCCCCACACATTTTAGAATGGAGACTTTAGCTCCACAGTTTATGTTTACAATCCTGAATTATATATTAAACATCACATATCATCCCAAATATTTTATTTCATATAGTTGCACAGTGATCTAAAAAGGTCTTTTGATCAGTTCTCTTCTGAAAAACACTAGAGAGAAAATAGAATCTGAATCAGGAATTTTAATAGGTCAGTCTGATTACTTATGAGAAAGTTGAAGTTCACAAAGATAATCGCTCAGAGTCCTGAAACTCATCAGTACCATGCCTTGAGATATAACTTGGGTTTCCTAGAAGGGCCTCTCTTTTATTAAGATGTTGAATAGGCCATTTCTACTCAGCATATATTTATTCTCTGCCTCCAAATTGTTCTTCCGGCAACCTTCCTCATCTGGTAAATGATACTATGTCCTTCTAAAAGTTCAGTCGGAAACCTTCAGGCTACCCTTGACCCCTCTCTTTCTATTCAACACCCTATATTCATTCTACTGGCAAATTCTGTCACCTCTAACCTTCAAAATACATCTAGAGGGGCCAGGGACTTAGCTCAGTGGTGCTGCTGCCTGCCTTGCAAGTGCAAGGACCTGAGTTCAATCCCCAGTACAAAAAAAAAAAAAAAAAATCCATCTAGAGTCCAGTTACGGTCAGGCCCCTCGTTCCTCAAGGGTTGGCTCCAGGACCCCCTTGGATACCAAAACCACAGAGGCCTTGCATGACACGGGATGGTACTTGCATATACTCTGTACACCCTCCCACAGGCTGTCAGTCATCTGTAGATTCTCACAGCACAACACAATGTGAATGCTATGTAGGGAATAATAAAAATCTGTACATGTTCAGTGCAGATACCAGTTTTTCACATGTTTTGAACCCACAGAATGTGGTTCTACAGATGCAGAACTGCACATACAGAGGCCGACTATATCCTGAACATTTCTACTGTTACCACTCCAGTCCACGCCACCCTAACTTTTGACCTGGTCTCCCTTGTGGCAGCCCTGTTGGTCTCCCTGGACCCTTTACAGTCTATTTTCCAAGTGTCACCAAGGATCCTGCTAGGACATAAGTGAGATCATTTCATTCTCATGCTCAAGACCTTCCACTGCCCTCCCATGATGCTTAGTGGCAATGCTCAGGGCTCACCAGGACCTGGAGGGCTCTACGGGTGTGAGCTGCCCTTGCCCCTTTGACCTAGCTGCCTTTCCTTTTCCTCAGTCATGCTGGGCACACTCCCACTTTGGGGCTTAGGTCTTGCTATTCTCTCAGCCTAGACTTTCCATTCCTCAGCTACGTGAATGGCTGCTTCCTAGCTTCCTTTCAACCTTTGCCTTTACTTCCTCCCAGCACCCTTTCTTCTCCTCCCCAGCCCCACTAAGGCCCATGACATTTTCTGACATACACTGCTCTTACTGATCTCTCTCCTCCCACTCACATGAAAGCTGTGTAAGACCTGGAGCTTTGGGATGCTAGCAATGAAAACAGCAAACATGCAGAGTGTGCTCACTAATTTTCTTGGAGGAAACCAGTCCTAAAAATGCTTCAATATTGATCTCTCAATATATGTATACTCTATTTAATAAATTTTTAAATATTAAAAGTGGTATTTTCAATTCAGAGATGTACAAATAAGCAAGCAGTGCTTTTTCAATAGGCACTTGTGGAAATGGCCTCTCTATCCAGAATGGGAAGCGTCCTTTGGAAAGGGATGATAGATACAGACACAGGCAACTGTTCTTAATCTGATACATGATGCCAAATGAAATGTTTTGGCAAATGGTTACTTACACCAGCTTCCATAAAGTCATAGCCATTAAGATATGTAGCATGCTTACATCACTGAAAAAACACCCTACAGAAAAAGTGCACCATGTATTACAGGGTGACTCCTCAAAGGACATAATGAGAGGTAATGGTAAGTCACAAAGACATGGTAAGGACCACCTCGCTATGCAACCGCGCTTTAGCAGCTCCTGCCTGTACTTAGAAAAGGAGACACAACAAGAGGAGGTGGGCATGGAAGGAGAGAGATGCGAGAGACAAAAGGAAGAGTTATGCAGACCAAAGAGAACTCTTTGAGATAAAAAAAGAGCAAATAAAAATTTGAAAAGAGGGGGCTAGTGATATAGCTCAGTGGTAGATCATATGCTTAGCATATGTGAGCCCCTGAGTTCAATCCCTGGTGCTGTGCATGTGCATGTACACATACACATACACACACACACAGAATAAAATGTCTGGAATGATATTATCTAGAAGGCCAGGAGGGGTAGTCTCAAAATGGGGCCTTCATAAAATGCTCTAGGGAGAGATACAAGACAGCAACTAGGATTTTTCCAGTTGGGCCCAGAAATCTACCCCCAAAGTTCAGGCCAGACATCACATATGCATTTAACTTGGGCTCAAAATTCACCAGAAATCACAAGAGGGGATTAAAAGAAATGGTTTCATCTAAAAGTGGAGAACAAAGGCAATGTGAAATAACCATAATCCTCAAAGATACAAGGCCTGGCTCCCAGAACAGTACTCAGACCAAAGGCACTGATGACAACCCAGAGTGGCTGATTTTTTTTCCCCTCAAACCCTGGAGAGCACAGCCCAAGAGGGAGAAAATGCATCCATAAATGTGAGAATATAAGGAAACCAGGATGTTCTAGTTACTATGTTAAAAAGTAAAAAAAAGAAACAGGTGAAATTAGGCACAGTAATATCTTTTAATTTAATATATTAAAAATTTCATTACAATATATAATATAAAAATCTGAGATATTGTACAGTCTTTTTGTCATGGGTCTTCAAAAAGCCTTCATATATTTTATACTCTATAGTATATCTCATTTCAGCCTAGATGCATTTCAAGTGCTTAAGAGCCACGTGGGGCTGATGACTTACATGGGACAGCACAGGTTTCAAAGGTACCTAGGAGCTTGTAAGATCTGCATCGACAAAGAAAGCTCACCTAAACAGGATGCAGATCATATCTTACAGTCTGCAATAAGGTTACATCATGGACTGGAACCTCCTGTAAATACTGAACCACTGCAGGCTGAGTAAGAAAAGGATAGCACTACACGAACACAGGTAGTAAAGAAAGGCTGGGATCTTGGAACACAAAAGCAGACACAGACATACACTCTCTTTTCAACCTTGAGCATAGCAGTGAACCTGAGTTCTATTTACTAGTCAAGAGAGCTGTACCATGTTCTCCACAAGACACTGGGTGCAGGATTTCTCAGTGGCTATTAATGCAGGGCAAGAGTTAGCTCACTAATGAAACAGAAATGCAGGAGGAGAGTGATAAACTTACTTAAATCTGTAGCATTCTCGCTTATTATTCACAAATCCATCTGCCAAATCGCGTGGTAAGATAATTTCCAAGCTAGGTGTTAATTTTTCATCTTCATCTATGGAATAAATCTGAAAATATGAGGAGAATAAATGAATGTACCATGGTAAAATTACAAGTTAAACTGTGGCCATGTTATTATGACTTGCATTGTCATGTTACAAAACTTGTAGTCGTACCTTGGCACTTGCTTTGTCAAATTTAGAACTCAACCCATTTGACAGATATTTTGTTTGGAAATCGGTGACTTCAGTCAAAAACCTGGGGTATCAAGGTTTCATTATGGTGTTGAGATAAAATGTCATAATACAGTACAATTTGGATAATTTTCCTCTTTGAACTCCATATGGACTCAAATATACAGAAGTGAACAAAAGGAAAAAATGCTATATCAACGTTCAAATCATCTCTGAATGACTTAATATTCAAATCTGAGCATATGAATGTTTCTGAAGTTGTGAATGAAAACTAACAGTCCTGAGAGCAACATACTGCCACAGTAGTGCTTTCACATTATATACCAAGAAATTAACATTTCGCCGTAATCAAGAAGCATTTCTAAGCATTTCCAAAGTACTACACACCAAGATACAAAGATGAGGTTCTGAGCCTTCTCAGAGAGCTCACAAGAATGCTCAAATTTCAATTTAAAGAAGCCCAAGTTGCCATGAAATATATTCAGGCATTTGGTTAAGTTATGTAATTTTAAAAGACACACGTAGTTCCTGTCTTTGATGTCATTTTTAGCATTGTCATCCCAACCCAGCTATTAATTGGCAAGTGACTCGGGGGAAATCACTTAGCCCCTCTAAGCTGATAGGGAAATGGAGGATGTTAATCAGCCCTTGCAACTGCAACAAGCTCTGATTCTCTTCTCAGTTACTACTCCTTTATTTATTAACCAGAAAAAAGCCTACGATTTGAGGTCCAAATGCTGAGCTCAATTTACCAGCTGTGTGAGCAGCCACCACTTTTAGAACCAAGGCTCTTTACATAGAAAATGAGGAAAACAGAATTGCCTTCCTTACAGGGGATCTAATGATGTAATGGAAATGGAAGTATTTTGTAATGCACCATAAAAAGTTACTCATTAGATTTCGAAGGTTTTTTTTTTTTTAAAGACTTGTCTTTCACCAAGATATAAAATTCTAACAGGCAATACTTCCTGTTTCAGACCCATTTAGAAGCTTGATTATAGGGAAAGAGCTATACTCCTAAGCAAGTAAATTCCTACCTAAATCTCCAGAAAGTATGAATAATTTCCTAAGGAGACTTTTATTGAAACCTCACATTTAAAATGTGAAGACTTAGGTTAAAAAGTCATTTTGAAAAATAAAATTATTGGTACAAAATGATGACATCAAGTTCAAGGCTTTCTGGCTAAGTTTTCTAAAGAGAGATTTTAAAGTATATCCCATAGGGCACTACATTAAAACAAAGTTTAATAGCTTAGACAGGTGAATGAAAGGAGTGTGTAAGACATGAAACACACAAGAGTGAGGACTGGCATACATTTAAAAAATAATGTGTCTCCCTGTACCCAGACATAAGAGAATTGACGAGTAGGAACAATGGCCCCAACTCACTCTTTTTAATCTATTCTGAGGCATTAAGAAAATTCCTTAGGGCCAAAAATCTTTAATATATTAGCTTTCTACTCATAATCATAAAAATATTTATTATCTGATGTAGGACAGCTATTTTTTAGAAAACAGAACACATGCAAGGATGAATATGAATGTTTTGAAATGTACAAAGCTCTGCACAAAAGTACTGCCATTGTTAAAACCATCAGACAGGTTCATACCATGCATCTTTTTTAGTAATTTATAAATTATTATTTAACTTCTAATGCCTTAAGAAATAAGATTAATAGAAAGCCTCTGGGTCACTCTGTTTAATACTACAGACAACATTTGCAGTTAAAGAAATAACCAGACAATCTTTTGGAGAACAAGATTTGGTGCTAACTTGTGGGGTCTCTAACGGGAGGGCGAGGAAGTGCTACCTTGGTGTTTATTCCTAGTCCCTTCTTTTTGTGTATATGACATCATGTAACATCTCAGGATCTGATGTCATAAAATATATTTTGGGGGCAATCAAACAATCCACTCTGCAACTAAAGAAATGTAGAAAGAGGCACATTAAAATATCCAAACACAGCCTTTTAAGAAAAGAGAAAGTTCAATGTCAAATCCAAGGCTCTCCCCAACTCCCCAGCCCAACATCTCTCTTTCCTACAGCTGAGCACCTGCTTCTGACTGCCAGAATCTGTGTAAACTCAACACTTTAAGCTAAGAATCTGGGACTTAAACACTGCATATAATATACTTTTTACATGCACTTTTAAAAATCGTTGTGTAGGTGACTGCAATAGGAAATAAAATGAAAAGACACCAATGATTCTTTTTATACTGCTTCATTTCTTTTTTAAAAGCCAATGTTTTCTTTGGTGTCTTCTCATGTGTCCTCTCCTAAATGTGTATTATGAAAAAAAAGAACTGATGGTGATGATAAAGACATTATATTCTCCTTTTAAATACATAAATTACACGAGGCAAGTGCTAAATTATGAGACACTACAATGTTACGCAAACACATACTCGCAACACAGATATGAGACAGACAGCAAACATTATTAATACACCCATTCAAAGTGCTCACAAATCTAACCCAAACTGTCCTTGCCTATATTCATACTTGGAAGTAAAAAAAATTTTTTTGCCTGAAAGGGAATAGCTTTGTAATAAAAAAAAAATTCTTAAGTCACAGTCTAGTACTCACCATCTAGGTGGCCTGGCCACATTTAACTGGTGACTCAGTTTTCCTCATCTGTAAAATGAGCAAAAGGACACCCACCGTGCAGGATTCTTGTGAGAAACAGATGGCGCTCACAAAAACATCTGTCAAGTGGCAAGTTAGCCAGACATGGGAAGAATGACTGTTCCCTTCACAAGAGAGGACAAAGTTCTAAAACATTAAGAGCATACAGAGCATCTGCCAAGAGCACGGAGGATGTCTTACTATTCTCTGCAATCTTCTGAATTTAGCACAGTAAAGGAAGCTCCTGATAAATACTCGTTTGTTTTCTGAGTGAGGTGTATTCTTTGGGTCAGGATGCATGAATAGCTATGTACTACGACTGCACCTCACGGATCACGTTTAAATTGGCGAGTGACTATAATTGGCCAAGGAATTCCGGAGAGCTCAGTGCATGCAAATGACGTTGTATGTGTAAACCTTGTGTGTCTGTGTCTGCCTCAATACGCATCGTTTCAGACACTGGTAAACATGTATCGCCCGCTTGCACAAGTTTTGGCCAAGTGTGAAAACGTACATGGCGGAGGGGGCGCGCAGATTTCCAGAAAGGTGCAGTAAGTGCCATGGCCGAGGCACGCGCGCCCGCACACACACACACACACACACACACACACACACACACACACACACACACACACACCAGAAAGCGCCCCGGGTGAACGCGTGTGCTTCGTGCAGCGCTGAACCAGCCCACCCACCAGAAAGCGCCCCGGGTGAACGCGTGTGCTTCGTGCAGCGCTGGGCAGTGCAGGACTGGGCGGGGTCTGTGGGTCGCTTTCCCGACCTGGCGCTACAGCATCCAGTACTGCGAGTAGCACTGCGGGGGATTCGAGGGCGTCGCTGCGCTGTCACGGGCTCCCCATCCCTCCGCCCCTCACGCCCACCCTCCCGCGTCCCGAGGCCCCACCTCGCCCGTGCCCCTCCACTCATCGCGTACCCCTTGTTGACGCTTCCGGCCAGGGGGCTTTACCCTCGCGAAAATCTGGATAGTCTGCTTCACCATCTCCTCCCCTGCTCTGACTGACCCTTGACCTCTCTCTCGCTCGGGCCTCGCTTCCAAAACTTCTTACTCCCACCACTCTCCGCGACCCCGCAGCCTTAGCAACAGTAACTAGGGATACTACCCGAAGAGCACCGCGGCAGTCGCGATCCCGCCTCTTTTCCCTAATTGGTCGCGGAAGAGGAGGGGCGAGCCAAGAGAGCAGCTGAGGGGTGGAGATGGGGCTAAAGAGAGAGCTCCGCGCATGCGTGAGGGCAGGACCTTGGGGCACAGGTCAGAGGGCCGAAAAACAGCTTACTGGTCCCACTTAGGTTCCTTAACCCATTGTTTGTGCTGTCACCTCCTTTGGGTACTGAAATCATTCTGCCTTTTTATCATTCAGCTATTGAAAAAGTGACGCTTGATCTGTGAAACGCTGTATCCTGGCTGAGAATCCTGGGCTGAGTAAAAATGCCCCGGTCCGCTTGGAGATCAGGGTCTGAGGAAGCAGAAAGATTTTGAACAGAAAATTACAACCAACGGATAAGGACTATACTGCGGTTGGGGTGGGGCGGGTCTGTCTAGCTCTGTTTTGGGAAAGATTGAGACTGGAGGGAGGGGACTGCTTCTCATGTGGTGGTTGTGTCAAGAAAGGAACGGCTCTTCAAAAAGCGACGCCTGAAAAAATGTTCAACCTCATTATCCACGGGGGAAATATAAATTACAACCACAAGGAGATGTCACTGTGCACCCATCAGATTGGCTAAAATTAAAATAACAAAACAGCCCCTAGCAGATGCTGACAAAGATGCAGAGAAAAAGAATCGACCAATGAGACTATGTAATGTGAAATGCATACTATATAATGAATGGTACAGGCATTATGGAAAACCAGTTTTGATAATTTCTTACAAAGCTAAAAGTGCAGCTACTCTGAGACACTGCAAAGGCACTCGGGATTAATAGCCCAGTGAAATTAAAAAGTGTTCACAAAAAAATCCTGTACACGACTATTTATAGCAAATTAATTTGCAATAGTCACAAACTGGAAACAAGTCAGATGGTTAACCGAACTGTTATTCTATTCATAATAGCAAAATAGCGTAATAGCAAAATAGCATAATAGCAAAAAGGAACTCTTGCTACCAAGCAACTCGGATGAACTTCCAGGGAAATATGTTGCGTAAAAGATGCCAAATCCGAAAGTTAACTACAGTATGATTCAGTTTATGTAAGATTCTTGAAAGGACAAAATTACAGAGGTGGGGAGATTAGTGGTTGCCAGGGAGGAACAGAGGTGGCTATGGTTGTAAAAAAAATCTTCGTGATGGACCATTCTGTATCTGGCTGCAGGGGTGGTCACAAAAATCACACTCATGACAGCATTGGATGGAACAAAACACACAGATGAGTACATACCAAGCATGCAAGTCAGTTAGGACTCTGAATAATATTGATTCTATCAATGCAATGCCCTGATCATAATATTATACTACAATTATGCAACACATCTCTTGTAGGAAACTTGAGGAGCGGTAAGCAAATTTCCATTGCCTTTTACAACTGCATGTGAAATTACCCTTATCTTAATTTTCAAAAGACATGCAACAAAATTTTTACAAAACATATACCTAATAAAAAACTTGGATCCAGAGTCTATTTTTAAAGTTTCAAACCCAGTAATAGGAAAACAATCTAATGTTTAAAAAGAGGGGGAAAATAAATCCATATTTTTCCCTCAAACAGTTGAACCAACACTTGACCAGAAACGATATATGAATAGCAAGTGAGTGCGTGAAGAGATGTTTAATATCATTAATCACTAATGAGATGTAAATTAGAACCATGCTAAGATACCATTACACACCTCCTCTAATGACCTAAAAGAAGAAAATGAAACTGACAATGCCAGGTGCTGGCACGGAGCATCTGGAACTCTCAGGCATCACAAGTAAAGAAAGCAAGGTGGGCCAGCTACTTTGAACAACAGTTTAATCGTTCCTTATAAAATTATATGTATATTTACCATCTGACACAGCAATCCCATGCCTCGATAGTCACTCAAGTGATATGAAAACTTATATTCTCCCAGAAACCTAAATATGGATGTTTAGTTACAATTGCCCCGAATCGGAAACTAAGTAAGTGCTCTTCAGCTGGTGAATAGCTAAACAAGCTGGTACTGCCACACAACAAAAGGGAATAAACTGCAGGCACCCCCAGTATAGTTTTGTGGAGTGGAAGATGCTGGCCTCTGAAGTTACACATTTCATAACTTCACTTATATGACATTCTAGGAAAAATAAAAAGGGCAGGGATGGAAAACAGATCAGTGGTTTCCAGGAGCTAGAGGAAGGGAAAAGGTTAATTACAAATGATTTTTTTTTTGCTGGAGAGGGTTGATAAAAACTGTTTCATATTTCAATGGTGGTAGTGGTTACATGACTATATATTTTTGTCAAAATTAATAGAATTACCATATCTATACATGTAAGCAGGGATGCTACAGGTAAATTATACCACAATAAGATAAGAGAGAATGAGGTATGAACTGGGGCAGTAGTGGCATGGATAGATAAGAGGAGGGAACCAGGTGCTTATTAAATGACTTTAGGATGTTATTACCAGGTGAGATAAAGGTGACTCAAGACCGGGTAATCAGGTGCATGGCACAGATATTCTCTGGATAGGTGAAACCGATTAGGGAAGGAGAAATGAGGAGCTGGGGACATGATAAATTTCTGGTGCCCACGGTAGTTGGATGAGGTGTAGAAGAAAGCTATGGCTGAAAATTAGGAGTCATTGCAGTTTTTCTAGGAAGAGACCAAATCACTAATGAGCAGAGAGGCTGAAATGCCAGCACTGATAGTTTGCGAGGGAAGGGAAGAGGAGTTGCTGCACAGGAGCTGAAACGAGCACAGAAGGAAATGCTATGTCATGGAAGTCAAGCGCAGAGAACATTCTGAGAAGGATGTGTCAGCAGTAGAGAGCACGTACATACTGGAGAATGTCTGTTCTATGTTGCAACTAGAAGGCATTTTTTGTAATCTAGATTGCGGTTTCAATAGAGTAGCAAGGTCAAAAGTCAGGATACAGGATGCTGAGGGAGGTTAGAAACAGAGGCAGACAGGATAGGCTATTTTCCCCAGAAGCTTGTTTGTGAAGGCTGTAAAGAAGTAAAACACAAAGGTGAAAATTAGAGGAACCAAGATAAGGAAGGGTCGGTATTTTGTTCATCTGTAAGGAGGTAAATCCAATAGAGAAGGTCAGGTTGACAGCACAAGCCAGAGAAAAGATAAAAGATGGTTGCCCTAAATGATAAGAAAGTTTACCAAGAGAGTGAAATGAAAAGGAGGCAGAGGAGCACAGGACATTTACAAAAGATCAACTTGACCACTGAATCATGAAGTCTAGGATGTTACTGGCCTTTGACATGGAGGGTTGTTGCCAAGGGTAGGAAGGAAACATATGGGTCCTGGACATGGGAACTGGCAGAGCTCTGGGTCCTATGATTAAATGCACCTATGAGGAGGAAGTACAGGTTCAAATCCTGAGCCTATCACATTCCTGAGAGTGTGACCTTGGGTGAGCAATTTATGCTGTTGTGTCTCAGTTGGCTTATCCAATAATGGGGCAAGAGCTATGTGATGGGGTTATGAGAGAGATTAAACAGGGCCATACAGGCAGAAATGTTAACATGGTACCCGTGAATAGAGAGTGTTCCTACTTGTGGGTTTCTGACCTGTGCAGAGGATTCTTTTGGTTATAAATACCTCTTAAAGGACAGAGATGATAGCCTAAATTTGTACACATGACACATTAGGATTGTAAACTCGGTACCTCCCGGAGCCATACCTAGGTTGTAAATACATGAATCAGACAGGGAGAAGGCAATAGAAGTGGCTGTGGTGAACGGGAGGCTTGTGCCCCAGCTAAAAGCACTCCCATTCAACCTGGTTAAAGCACAAAGCAGTTTAAAGACAACATATTGTACGTGAGGCCCTAGTTCAAACCTCTGGTCTGTTCCTGGTAAAAGCAACTTCAGTTCCTCGCAGGCCAGGCCTCTGACAGCCTTCCTTAAACCTCCAACAGATGGCTGTAATGGGTACAAAGTAGAGTTTGTGATTAAATCTCCAAGCTACAGTCCTTCCCACAACTGGATTTCCATGCAGTATTATTACTGGATTTCCATGCAGTATTATTACTGGATTTCCATGCAGTATTATTATTACTGGATTTCCATGCAGTATTATTATTACTTGCACCTCACGAGCTTGTTTAAACATGGGAATTAGGATGCTTTTCAATTGCTTGAAAAAAAATTCTTTTGCTACACAGCTGCCAAAAGAACAGATAACTACACCAGGCAAATTAGCCAGGGGTTATTAGCCTCAAACCTGAAAGACATTAAGTTGTGTCTGAGCTGAATTAGTCTATAGGCAAGTTAGTTGGGTTTTGTTCACTTGTATGTTCTGTTTTTTAAGAAAGAGTTGAAACTACAGTATGTTCCAGGGCTAGTTTTCAACTACCTCTTTAGCTGTTGGGGCTACAAATATAAAATGCATCATTTTACTTTAAAACTCTAAAGAGGGGCCAGTAAAAATTTTGTGGGCTGGTAATTTTGATATAGAATACATACATAAAATCACCTAATTGCAGTACACTTCCCCCCCTCCCCTATTTTATCCATGGCTTTGGGGCATTTAGGTTTGTTAGTTCAAAACTCCCTTGTGATTACAACATGAGCATCCCCACCCCTTATTATCAGAAGAACAACCACATGTTGAAGGCTTCACTAACCCCATTCCAGAGTCTTCTGTTTAGTAACTTCCTCCAAGGAGCAAGGCCCATGTCAGAACTTCCTGCTTCCTAGAACATAGTGATATGGATGGAGCAGAGGTCAGCTGATGTGATCTGTCCCCTTATAGTTGTGAATATTGAGATAAGACACCGGCCACTAGGGCCAAGGATTTAGATCAGTGGTTCTGCCGCCTGCCTCTCAAGCACAAGGTCTCAAGTTTGGTCCCCAGTACAAAAAAAAAAAAAAAAAAAAAAAAAAATTG